TTGGAGGTGCATGCTGAGGACTATGGAGGTCTGTTTGACAGGGCAAAGGTGGAGATCACCATTACAGATTTGAATGATAATGCACCTGAGTTAACTGTAACCTTTCTCACAAACTCCATCAAGGAGAACTCACCAGCTGGAACTGTTATTGCTATTTTAAATGTAGAAGATCAAGATTCAGGAATTAATGGTGAAGTCACATGTTTGATTCCCCAAATCCTCCCTTTTCAACTTAAAAAATCCACAGATAACTTTTACAGTTTGGTAACAGCTGATTCCCTTGACAGGGAGCAGAGAGAATCATACAATATCACTGTTTCTGTAACTGATCATGGGACACCTCCTCTTTCTACAGCCATGGTGATAGCACTTCACATCATAGATACAAATGACAACCCTCCACACTTTTCAAAATCAGTCTATTCATCTTATTTCATGGAAAATAACCAGAGAGGAGCTTCAGTCTTTTCCATAACAGCAAATGATCCAGACTGGGAAGAGAATGCCAGAATAACTTATTCTATCACTAAAAAAGATATCAATGATTCCTCACTTTCTTCCTACATTTCCATTAATTCTGAGACTGGGATTATTTATGCCCTGCGTTCCTTTGATTATGAAGAGTTCCAGGAGATTAACTTCCAGGTCAAGGCCCAAGATGGCGGTTCCCCACCATTCAGCTCTAGTGTCTCAGTGACTCTCTTCATCCTGGATCAGAATGACAATGCCCCAGAAATCTTGTACCCTTCTGTCCCCACTGATGGCTCCACTGGAGTAGAGCTGGCTCCTCGCTCCTCTGAGCCTGGATATCTAGTCACTAAGGTGGTGGCAGTGGATGCAGACTCTGGCCAGAATGGATGGCTCTCCTATCAGCTACTCAAGGCCACAGAGCCAGGGCTCTTCTCCATAGGGCTCCACACTGGAGAGATTAGGACAGCCCGTTTCTTTCTGGACAAGGATGCTCTCAAACAAAGCCTGGTGGTTTTAGTGAAGGACAATGGCCAGCCCCCTCTCTCTGCCTCAGTCATGGTCACTGTGGTGCTGGCCGACAGCATCCCTGAAAGCCTCTCTGATATTAGTAGCATCTCAGCTCCTGCAGACCCCCAGTCGGACCTTACCTTCTACCTGGTGGTTGCTGTGGCTTTTGTCTCCTGCTTGTTCTTCACCTTCCTCCTTGTGTTGCTTGCCATCAGGTTGCACAGGTGGAGAACTTCACAGTTGTGTGATTCTAGAAATGTGAATTTCAGTGGTGTTCCTGTCTCA